CATTGCACCAGCTCTATGCCAACTAGGAGAAAATATACTCCTTTGTCTTTTGTGTGCGTTCTGAGTAACTAAAGCTCAAACTTGCTTTTCATCTTTTACTCCAGGGATGCTCAGCAGTATAAAATCTCAAGACAAATCACTTTCACGCTCCTTAGTGTAGTATCTTCTCCAAAATTGCCAACATTTTTAATATTTGATACACATAAAAATGGAACCTGTAAACACTATACACAGATTGTTTTAAATTGCGCCTTCCATGCACTGTTTAAAGTATTTCCCTCCAGGATACATTATGAGATCCACCAAAAAGTCTGTTTCATTGTCCTACACAACCCATTTAAGTGTTCGTAATATTTCCTACTTTGAAAAGCTCAACTAAGGTCCTAAAGAAAGCAACTGATTCTGTGCTTGACATAATTCAGTGGTTTCAAAATTCTGCAATGAGTCAGTACTACAGTTTACATGATCCACCGTGAAATGCAGATAGGCCTTTTCAGTTAATAAAAAAGAAAAAGAAGCGCAGAAAAGCCCAATTCCCTTATCGCATGGATGCCAGATATTGGAAATTGCCTATCAGCATTAATTTAATCCTGAGCATTGATTAAAGTGTACACTGTAAACTCAGCGGATAGAGGCGATTGTTAAATGCCTTTCTGCAGGTCATTTCACAGCTGGCAGGTGAGAGTTAATATAATGATCAGTAATAAAAGATTAATGTGTGATGCAAGCCAGGCACAACTGCAATGAACACAGTCAGTATATAAGAAGAGCATTACTTTCGCAGCTTCAGATTATCACATTTTACTAAAAATAAATGAAGAAAGCAAAAGGCCTAGCTAGTGATTTAATTGCAGCAAGCATCAACACAGTTCCCAGTTATGCAATCCAAGTTCAGGAGTTCACAAGAGACCCAAAGAGAGAGGAGCCGGTGACAAAAAGGAGGAGAAAGGGCCCGGCGAATCGCTGGCGGTACTGGCTGCGAGCCCTGCTGCTCTCAGTGCACTTCAGCTGCAAAGGAAGTAACCAGCAAAGAATGGGTCGCAATAGGACTGAAACACTTAAAGCAAATGAAATGCAATGAAGAACATATTAAGATGCCTTATGTCTCCATTGCTGTACACAGCTCTACTAGTTAGCAGGAGAGCACTGTACTCGGCGAGATGAATACTTAGTCAATAGTGCACTATATCATTCTATATTTATAGAAGATGAAGCATTACCTAGCAGGGAGAAAAGCATCTGGAAATGAAATATTGACGACCTAATCCATTTACATAATTAGCCTTTTTCTACTAACAATTTAACCAACTTATTTATTTGGAGATCAAGCAGCTACCGCTAATGAATTTTATACAAAGAATACTAATAATGACTCCTCTGGAACAAGCAGGAATTAGCTTTCTACTTAAACATCTTTCCTTTGCAACATATCAATCTAATGTGTCCATAGCACCATTAACAACCAGATACATTGTTCAATTAAATTACAAAATGAGCTGCTAAGCCCTAGTTATGTTTCTTGTTTAATTTACATTGCTTTCTGCCTATCTGGGGAGATTCGTATTATAATATCCACTGAACTTTAATATGTACTATAATTATTTGGGTTGGGATAGGATAATATGGCTGTCACCTGTAGAATTAATGGAAGCAATTTCACAAAATATTAAACATAAGACAGGCTGCTTAACAGATGAACTTAGTACATACACCTACATTTTTTCCACATAAATTTTTTTCATGGAATAATGCTGTAAAGTTTTTTAGGCTTTTCTGTTTGTTTGTTTTGAAACAGTGATCACATTTATGTAGCACAGACAAATATTAAAAGCCATCCAAAATATGCTAACCTGGAGATTGCCATTCTGTTGATAGAAGATACGTGTACAAACACAACAACAAGAGAGTAAGTCTGCTCATATTGTTATAACAAATGTGGTATTTATTCTGTTAAGATTCAATCTTTAGGTTTAATGGCAATATGGAAAACAAAGCTAAAACTGTATGTTCGCTTTTCCTGCCAGCCACTGAATTCTTAGACACCTCATCCTCAGCTTCTAACTGTGCTTCTGCTGTTACTCCTTTCCAGTTTGTAAAACATACATTTACATGACATATCCAGTCATTTTAGCAGAGCACAAACCTTCCTGGAGTTATGAATAGCACTTGCCCATTTCCTAGATATTTAGTGCAGTGCCACTCCCTGGAAAACAGGTAGGGAACAAAGCGTGGCAATTACACTTACATAGACCTTTATGAGCATTTCATCTCCACAAATATTTATCTAACTATATGTTATTATCTTCTGCACAAGATGATGAACTGTAGTATTGTATAGTACTTGCTGACAATTTAAAAGGAAGATAGTAGAGAAAGTGTGTTTATGTTTTTATTGTTGTTATTCACAATATCTGTTATTATTAAGAAATTTTTTTCAGTGCCTTGTAAAATTTTTAAGAAAACATTATTTTGTTATGCAGCAGCATTCTCTTGCTATACTTGCAATTATACTGTAACACTGCAACAGTTGCGTGAGATCCAGAAAGTAAAATAGACTTTAAGTTAAAATGGTGCTGACTAATCTGTCCCATTGTCCACGCTGTATGAACACATAACCAAGGAAAGCAATTTAGAATTTAAAGACCTTGTGCCTGCTCCTGCCCGTGCTGAAATCAGTGGGCAATCTACCGTTAGCTAACTGTAGTTAACAGCAGGAAAGGGTACGCGTGCCTGTTTGGAGCAAACCATCACAGGCAACGCGCTCTCCCAGCCCAAGTGAGAGGCAGAACTCCAATTGACTATAACTGGCCTAAGGTTTCACTTCCCTTATCGAAGGCTGATTAAAGGCTGATAGATAAACACGTTTTAGCCTTCTGAGAACCTGACTGAAAGATGGGAATTTCTAGGTTAATACAGTTTTTCCCTGCTGCTAGAAAAGCTTTCTGAACTGCCCGCTTACCTAACTTCCTCCTGTTCTCATTCATCCTTCCACACGCCTGCATTTCTGCTCTTCTGCCTCTCCCTTCAGTGTCTGTCTTTTACTTCCCTGCTCCAGGAGGGGGAAGGTGAGCCATGCCTAAGGGTTTTGCTTGGGTGCAGGTCCACAGTGAGACCTTCCCTTGGATTCTTTCCCACCTCTTCCAGCTGATCATGCCTTATTTTCTCCCTTCCTGCTTCCGTCTTCCCCAGCCACATCTCAGAGTCCAGATCTCTCTCACTTTTCTCCAAGTACAGATGTGAAGCGGCCACACTCCCACTGTGCTCAAGTACAATTCTTGTGAACTCTTGTCAGGTCTGCCCTGTAGTGCCTCCTCTGCTCAGTCTCTCCCCAGGCCGCCTTCTCCAACCCCTCTCCAAGGGGGAGCAGCGGCAAAGACCTCTGCCTTTGTCAGCAGGCAGAACTAGGTCTTCTGCTTTCTACTTGCCATCTCCTTTCCTCATCCCCAAAGGTCCTTCCTCTGCTCTTACTGCTGGAGTGTGTAAGTGTTGCAGGCAGTTCAGGAGCTCCATTCCTGTTCTTTCCCCGTGCCACATGCCTGTAGCAGAGCCAGCTCCTCTGCTGCATGTCCTCCCTCGCGGCTGGGGGCTGTATTGGCAGCTGAGCAAAGAAGCTGGCTCAGCTGCAGGCTGCTGGCTGGGAGCTCCCGACAGCTCTGACGCTGTTGATTCACCTACAGCCAGAAATCGATCTGGCTCGGCAACAACCAATGGAGGAGACCTGGAGGGCCTCTGTCAGCCTTCCTGAGCACGACCAGGACTGGGGACGGCTTGCGATTGAAGTGTGGTCACCAGTATAAGTGTCCAGGCTGCACAGTTGCTTCCTTTAGTGAAATTGTCTCCAAAAGGAGAGAAAGAGAAAGCTTCGGTTAGCAACAGTAATCATATGGTACCCTATGGCTGAAATCAGTGTCTCCAGATGGAGGATGGGGGAAGAGAGACACACTGATGTCTTCTCCACTAAATTAATTTGAAATAATTAGTATTTCCACCATATTCAACCACATGCAAATCCTGACATAATCTCCAGAGCCCCCTCCAATTACCACTGTTGACAAAATGGAAACAAGGAACTTCCACGTTTAATGGGAAAGAACATGGCCTTCTGAACCCCAGCAGAGTGTTGAAGGTTGGTCTGTTTGTGTGCTATAAAGACTTGCCGATTGTACAATGAAGCAAGAAATGAGAAATTCCAATGAGCTTTGCTGCATAAAAGTATAATTGTAGCATATGTCAGTATACTGATACTAGCTTGTTCTGGCTAATAAAAAAAGGGAAGATATAGGAGGAAGGGCTTTAGCATAGCATACACTATGAGCTGTGCCCACAGCTTCAGGAAACCCTGGTGACACAGTCCAACCCCCAGTGAAAAACGCGTATGAAAGCTTGTTTAACTGCAGCTTCCCCACCGTTGTTGGCCCTGCCGGCAGGATTAGCTGGAGGGCTAAGCCCACATGTCTTACAATCCCACCTTGACTTTGCTGTGTAGTCATTTTGCTAAATTCATGACACCTTTGTAAAACAATATCATCTGCTCTGATCGATTTATGGGTGAAGGCTCTTCTGTATAAATTTTGAGGATTTATCACCTTTTGTTGGTGTCTGAGATGGATCAGTGCTGCAGCAGCACAGAGGGGCTGTGCCAAACATTAAACTGCTGCATTGCTTACTCTTGAGGATATTAATGTGTATAAATATAGTTCATTTACATATCTTGTAAACATGTAATGCTCTCTATTAAATTTATCACTGTAAATATCTAAATTAAGTTTAATCCATTAAATTTTAAAAGTTGTATTAAAAAAACCTGTAAATGGAGAGCATTGCAATAAAAAGTAATAACATTGCCACATTTATAATGCTTGAACTGCTTCAGAAGGATGAACCTAATTGGAGCAATAGAAACATAACATCATTTTTCAGAGAGTGAGATCGTCCTAGAAGGGATATAAATATTGCCAATTCATGGTTAAAACTAAAGGCTATGGGGTTTTGATTTTTACCTGTCTCCTATATAGCCAGCTGTACAGACGCATTTTCCTGTCACGGGATCACAGTGTCCTCCGTTGTGGCATGGACAGTCCTGGCTGCAGTTAATTCCAAATGTTCCAGGAGGACATGGTTGTGCACACACCAGCCCCTGGTAAGGTTGCAGAAAGAGCAATATTTCAGTCAACATTCATAACGCAATAAATTTCTATATGCAGCTTGGATGTTTATTGTCCTTCTTGCTAAAACTAGATCTAAGTGTAGCAGCAATATTTTTTCCATTTAAGATGGGCTAAAGACAGTCTCAAAATTCTGCTACCAGAGTAAATGCCTGTCTACCCTATATCCAGAAGGGATTTTTCTCACCACTGTACAGTCACTGATAATTCTTTTCTTTGGATCTCCCCTGTAAACTGCAGCTGGGGTGGCAGGATATTCACCGCCCCTTGAGTAGACACAGGAAGGCTTGGGAGAGGTTAAAGGCAACCAGAGCAGGCTACAAAGCTGAATATTATATTTTGTAAAATAGAAAAGGAAAAGAAAAGAAAAGAAAAGGAAAAGAAAAGAAAAGGAAAAGAAAAGAAAAGGAAAAGAAAAGAAAAGGAAAAGAAAAGAAAAGGAAAAGAAAAGAAAAGGAAAAGAAAAGAAAAGGAAAAGAAAAGAAAAGGAAAAGAAAAGAAAAGGAAAAGAAAAGAAAAGGAAAAGAAAAGAAAAGGAAAAGAAAAGAAAAGAAAAGAAAAGAAAAGAAAAGAAAAGAAAAGAAAAGAAAAGAAAAGAAAAGAAAAGAAAAGAAAAGAAAAGAAAAGAAAAGAAAAGAAAAGAAAAGAAAAGAAAAGAAAAGAAAAGAAAAGAAAAGAAAAGAAAAGAAAAGAAAAGAAAAGAAAAGAAAAGAAAAGAAAAGAAAAGGAAAGA